AAGGCCATGAGGGATCCCATGTCTGTGAGGGTGCCGTGGTGTTTCCTGAGGCAGTGGAATCCTGCCCTGCCTGTGTGAGGCTGAGGGTGCTGTGTGGGGCTCAGAGTCACTCAGACACCTCTCACAGCCCCAGCTAAGCACAACCAGTGCCCAGAAGTGTCTCAGCCAGGTCTTTATTAGGAGAGAGCTGGTGGTGCAGGGCAGCGAAGGCAGAGGCTCCTCAGGGGTAGTAAAGCCTCAGACGGGCGATTCGGTTCCGCTGCTTCGTCAACTCTTTGTCCATGGTCATCTAAAAGACAACTGTGCATTAATAGCCATGACTATTCCACTAAAGGAAGGTGTGAGATGGTGTGGAGAAACTCCACCTGGGTTTGGACTGAGGTTTGTTCCCAGCAGAGCTGTCAGGGCTCTGCTTCACTCACTCTGTGGGTGGAAACTTTCAGAGGAAATTTCCTACTAGAAGATTTGTTGGGTTTGTTTCAGGATTGTAACTGGTTTGGCAAAGAGCATTTCCTGACAGAAAATCCCTTTGTACCCTGTGCCCCAGGACAGTAAGGGAAGGATGACAAAACACAGTGCAAATGCAAAGTCACTGTGAAATCTCCTTTCCCAGGAGCACTGAGCCAGGACTAACCTCCCCTGTCCCTGTCCTTACCCTCTGCACCTCCATTTTCACCATCCTTTGTGTTGGCATTGGCACTAAAGACCAATCTGGAGACCCAAACTTCATCGGCCAAGTGACCTTTCTGCACGTGGGTGGGTCTACATTGTAAGTTCCAGGTCTAAAGAGAACAGGCATAAAACATCTCAGTTCTGGAGCTGTTGGCTGATGTTTGTAACATGGGATTTACCTCTGACCTGCTGGGGGTCATCTAAAAGACAACTATTTGTTAGTAGTAGTGACAGTGCTGCAGGAAAGGAAGATGTGGGATGGCGTTGAGAGCCTCAAGCTGTGTTTTAAATCAGGTTTGTTTTCAGCAGAGCTACAGGGAGGACATCCATGGGAGATCCATGGGAGAAATGCACCTTGTGGTGTTCTAGCCATCATGCTAAGAAAAACACTAAAGCAGAGGAGGATAAAGAAGCTTTACTGGGACCTCAGTTTCCTATCTCTCATTTGTGCCTTAGTATTTCTCTCCTCCAGTGCCCACTGTGGTTAAAAGCTTAAGGAAACGAGTGACATTACCCAGGGAAGAGATCTCTAGCTGAAGGCTTGTCTGAGAATCGCGGTGCGCTGGAGGAAAAGGGAGCCCAGGCAGGTTTGCACTTCCTCCCCTGCGTCCAGAAGGGGCCATAGGCTGCTGGGCCGGGGCTCTTCGTCTGCAGGAGAGGACAGTCCGGTGTTGGAGGTGCTCAGAGCAGCCAGCTGGGCTGCACAGACCTGCTGGGCAGGGTTTGGGCTGCCCTGGCAGAGCACGAAGCCCAGAGCAGCTCCCCGTGCCCCCAGCACTGACCTGCTGCTTGGGCAGGAGCCTCCGCCCTGTCCTCGCGCCGACCACGTAACCTCTGCTGCTCAGGGGTCTGCTCCCAAACGAGGTGTGGATGCTGCTTCTCTGGGATTCCAAAGCAGAAATGTCTTACTGGCATTGTAGAGACACCACTTGCCCCGGGGAAGGGCAGGAGCACACGAGCAACAGATGTCATAGAATCATAGAACCCACTGGGTTGGAAGAGACGTCCAAGATCATCCAGTCCAACCCTACCGTGGTCACTAGACCATGGCACGAAGTGCCACATCCAGTCTCAGCTTGAAAACCTCCAGGGATGGTGAATCCACCACCTCCCTGGGCAGCACATTCCAATGCCTGAACGGAATGGGCTGTGTCATCCCTGTGTCACCTCTGTGCTTCCCCTGATCTCTCACTGCTGCAGAGCTGGGAGGACTGCGGTGCTGGGGAGGGGAATTTCTGCCTAGTTGCTGCTGTGATACACTGTGAATCTTGCATTGAATTCTGCTTAAAGTGAGTTTAGTGGGTTTTGCCCACTGCAAAACCTCAGGGTTTAATGGAAAATGGATGGACTTAGGATTCTCCTCCAACCCTGATGATTCTATGAATGAACTGGGGTTAAGTGACTCTCAGGTTTTCAGATTAGCTTTTTCCAGGTGGCCTTGCCAGAGAGCTGCAGCAGGGACAGTGATAAACCCAAGTTTCATGGGCTGTTTTTTCTTCAGGGATGGCAGAATCCTTTGGGATACTCCACAGCACAACCTACTCTGCTTCCAGAAAAGATTGCCATGACTTCTTCCAGGTGTATGTGGACACATCCTGCAGGGGCTTTGGGGTCAGGTGTGGGGCACTCTGTGTCCAGCTGGCCATGGCCCTACTGCTCCTGTCCTGTGTCTTCTGTGCAGGGCACAAAGATGGACCAACTTACCTCTTGGCTCAGGTAGTAGCTTGGCCCAAGGGAGAGGTTTCTATTGACAGATAACACGTGATTTCCCATCCTGTCTGGAGCATGGTGGTAGGGGAACATCTTCC